GGGGGGGGGGGGGGAAGCCCCTGCTTGAGAACTGCTATTCTAGGTGATGATTTGAAAGTGCTGGCCTGTGAAGAAGAGAATGATAGCACAACATATCTTATTTGTATCACAGGGCCAGAGAAAGAAAGGTATACAGTTGCAGTAACTTGCCTAAAGACATTATTAATTAATAACAGAACTGAGCCTAAAAGCTGGGTTTTGTGATTCCTGTTCTCCTTCAGTCATTCGCTGCTGCAATGCTCACAACAGTGAAAAACTGGCAACACTCTACTAAATGTTTATCATCAGGAGAATAGTTAAATTACAGCACATTCATATATTAGATTATTACACAGCAATCTAAATTAATAAAGCAGATACACAGATTAATGTTGACAACTTTACTGTTGTGTGAAAAGGGCAAATGTACATATGGTATAATTCCATTTATTTAAAAATCTATAAAACAACATTATATATTATTTATGGATACATAAACACATAGGAAAAAATAAAAACAAGGATAGCAATGACAAATATTACATTCATGACGGTGGTTATCTAAAGAAGGTAGTAGAAGAACTGGATTGGGGAGGATACACATGCCTTTTTCTGTAGGAAAAAAATCTGAAGCAAATATAGTAAAAGGTTAATATTTGGTAAAGCTGGTCTGTGGGTGGAAAATATACTCTTCTCAAATATTTGTCTATACAGCTGAAAAATTTAATAAAATAATGCGCTTTAGATAAAGTTCTCAAGAATGTAAGTTAAGGTGTCGAATGAGAGCTAAGGCTTATTAGGTGCTCAGTGTGTGACAGGCACTGCTCTGCACCATAATCACAACTGGATGAGACAGGTAGATCATGTCCATTTTACACGATGAAACTGATGCTAGGAAGTTAGGGAAATTCTACCCATCTAAGGTCATTCAACTACTGTATTAAGTGGGAGAGCAGGATTTGAACCTAGGTCTTTCTGAAACTCCACGTCTTTTGATGCGTTGTTCCTTAACCACCCAAACTAGAGTACTCCACTCCACTCTGAGTCACTCTCCACCCCCTTACCTGGCTTTGTCTTCAGGGCACTTACCACAACCTAGAATCATATTATATCTCAATTAGTCTGTGTGTTTACTGTATGTCTCCTCATCTAGAATGTAAGGTTCATGAGAACTGGAACTTGGCCATATTTACTGCCAGTCTCAGTGCCTGGCACATAGTAGTACCAATATTTGTCGAATGACTATTGCTGACACTCTTACTCCCATTTACTTTGGTATACTGTCACTCTATATAAAAAGATAAAGGAGATTCTTAGTGTTACTAAAGGAACATACGCATATTAGCTAGGTTTTTTTAAGTAAGCAAAAGTCAGTCTGAGTATATTGTATTAAGATTTCTAAACTTACCTCTACAGGAGGGTAATAGTTATAATTCCAGTACCAAAATGTTTTGGGTAGATAACTCTTGATTAAGTGGTGTTCTGGTATAAAGGGATGAAAAGTTTCTCTTCCAATTGTATCTCTGGAATCTCCTGCTTCTACATTTATAATTTCCATGCATCTTCCCAGTGCTAAATCTTCAATGGAAGAACTATGTGTACATTTCTCTGATTTAAATGCATCAACAAATCTCTTCAAGGCTTCTTTGCTCAGTACATATCCTGCTCCTCCACTCATGTAGCCCTGCTTTACGTAGGGCTTAAATCTTCTCCCAAAGAAAATGGGTTCTTCAGGGTTGTGTTTTGAAAGAAGCCATCTCAAATTTTCCAGTATAACATATGTATCGTCATCGGCTTTCATAAACCAGTCAGCATCTTCTAGATAGTGATCATGAACATACTGAAAAGCTTTAATTGTTTTCCAGTATAGCTGGTCTCTGCCTTCTCTAGTTTCTAATCCCACAGCAGGGAAGTCTTTATCTTCTTGTGAACTCATAAACAACACTTTATTACAGCGCCGGGCCCATGTAGCTTTGACATGTTTAGCCTTTTTCTCTAGATTTTGAGGTCCCGTCATAATCCAGCAAAGAATTCTAACCTTCTGAGAGAGGTTTTTAGCAATGTCTGTGTTCTCATCTATTAAACAAAAAAATTTTAAGTAATATTTATTTACATATATGTAAGATCCAAATAAATTATGCTGAAGACATTTTCTTAAACAACTTCAAAGAACCACCCCACCCCTGCCCCCCTTCTATTTACCTAGCTACCATTAGTGATTTAACTGAAAGAAAGCAAAACTCAACATAATGTGAACTGATGTTCTGATTTATTGGTTTCATGTCAATCTTATCCAGATCACTGGAGCTAACAAGAGCTGTCACTATGACTTAAATCCTTACTATTCTAACTGTGCTTCACTGACCAAATAGCATCAGCAATACCTGGGAGTTTGTTAGAAATGCAGCATCTCAGGTCCCACCCCACACCAACTGAATCAGAATCTTCATTTTAACAAGTTCTCTTGGTAATTCGTATGCATTTTAAGCACTGCCTTAAATAGTCTGCTTTTCACCTTCATTCTACATAGAAAGCTTCAGCTGGTTCTTAATAGAACATTGGCAAGAATTTTTTGTTGCTCTCAACAAACTCTGAAAGGCAGGAAAGATATGCTGCTTAAGTGGCAGTTCATTTCAAAGCTCACAAGAGTCCACTGTTATGAATTTCTATAAGTACCCTGAGGTGGCTTTAAAAAAGGTTTTCCTAACTACCCCAGTTCCATGAAGAGGCATTAATGCAGAGTTGAGATTACTTCTAACAATAACATACGTCATTACAAAATGCAAATCCACCAGTCAAAAAAGGAACATATGAATAGGTAGAGGTAGTATTTCCAAGATCATGTAAAGTAGTGTTTTTAAAGTATGGGCTTGCAAAGAAATGTGTAAGGAGCATGTGCCAGAATATAAAGCAGCCTTTTAATTTTTTCACTGAGGAAGTCTTGCTTCACCCTCCCCCTCAAAAAACGTCCAAAGCAGTGAATTTAAATGATTTACATCCTGGTACAAGTTGCTTATCTTGGTGCAATAGGTAACAAACAATTCACAGGCTGTCATACCAGAACCACATGTTGAGTAACAATGTACAGAGGAAGAATTCAACTATAAGATTCTAGGTCAGTGCTTGCTGAAGGACCATTTTCTATGTCCAATAGTTTGAGATCTATACTTTTATAAACATGCTAAAAATGAAATACTGAAAAATAAAATTAAAAAAAAATATATAAAACACAAGCTCCAATAAGTTTTTATATTTAGATTTAGACAAAATTACCTGTCAAATTACCATAATGTTTCTAACTGTTTAATTGTGATTTTAATACTTCTTTAGTTGTGGACCAGCATGAGTTTGCAAAACCACACTTTGTGTAGCAATGTTCTTAGCAGAATCCTCAGAAAGTATATCCTTAAAGTTAATGTCAACCAGTGAGATACGAAAGCTAAGTCCTGTGAACAATTAACAGCTAAAGACATAAATTTCTAGTTAACTGATTGAGAGGGAATAGAAGGCAAGGTTGGGGCAGAGCATGAAAATATACTCATGCCCCACTGAATATCAAGAATTAGCAATCTAAAAACAGACAAAAATCACCCTATTTTCAGTCAGAGAGCAGGCACAGTTCTTATACTTGGGAGTCCAATTTCCTAGCTATACAGACATACTACATCCTGGATGGAGAGAGAAAATGGTGGAGGCAGGAATCCCCAGTATACTTCACTTAGAGCAAGAGAACTTTCTCCCACAGCACATCAAACCCTCTGTACATAGCTCCTAAGTTATAGCATCTCTTAGCATATGGCAAGTATTGGTTTGCACATGTGTCTTATTCATCCTTTTATCTCCTGTGCTAGCACATGCTTACTGCAAAGTAATTAATGAGTAATTGAAAGAAGGAGAAAGTAGTGGCTGTCAAATCCTATAGAGCAGTGCAATGGAATTTGGCTAGAACAGAGAAGAATGGGAGATAAAGCAACATCAGCAAAAACAAGAGATAATGCAGAAAATATGTCTTTAAATGAGTAGATGCTCACCAGAAGAAAGAACAAAAGGCATTGTGAAGTTTGGCTGAGTGCAGGTAGATGAGTATAACTGAAGGCCTGTTCTAGGGAAAATGCACTATAGATGGAGAGACGAAATCTGAAAAATGGTAAAGAAGGTGAACTGTTAGATTTAAGTGACAAATGAGATTGAATGGTAAGCAAAGAAAAGCATCTACCATGACTGCATAGTTTCTGGCACAGGCGGATGGAATGAGCTATATAAAATAAGGGGTATAGGAGGTAGAGCCAGTTTTAGGAGCAGGAAGGAAAAGAAAAGGAGTTCATTTGCACACTGATTGAGAGGGAACAGAAGGCAAGGCTGGGGCAGAGTTAAGTTTGAGAGGAACAGAACTTTTAGCATACCCTACATTTTGTAGGCGCTGGAGGAGGCCAAACTAGCACAGCCTACTAGTAGTGGAGGAGTCTCAGTCCAATTGATCATTTCAAGACCCAGAGCAATGCTACAGACAGAACAAGTGCACAGTGATTGAACTGCTTTACAATAAGAACAGAGAGCACCTGCTCAGGGCTGAATCACTGTTATATAAACAGTCATACAACATAAGATAATCTGTAATAGCATGCATGTGCTTGTTAGTTCACAAAACTCAACCAAGATCTGACACCTTGCCCTACAACCTCTGCTTGAGAGGTAGAAAAGAAGTAATTTAGAGTCAGAAAGACAAGAGAAACAGCTCTTAATGAGGACCCTGATTGTTTTCAAGCTGTTTGCATTCTTTTCTGTCAAATAAACCACAAAATTTGCAGAGATCTTTGAATTGTGTTAATCCTTTCTTATAGTGTCTAGAACTGGGTTGAAGATAAAGAGAGTAAAGAAGAGATGAAAATTAAAACTATGGGGGTTGATGACATCACACAGGCAAAGAAGAGTCAAAGGACAGAAACTTAGAGAAAACCTACATTTAATGGACACACAGAGGACTACTTGAGAAAGTATAGATATGAGGCCAAGAGTAAATGAAGTCATACCTAGTTTTCTAATTCCCTAGTTCTTTATGCTTCTAATAAGGAAAAAAAGATTAGTGATACTAACTACTGATAAAATTATAAATTGAAATTTATATGTATCTCTTGCGTTTCTCTAAGAAAACATGACAAAGTAAAAACTAAGACCAAAACAAGACAATAGCAAAAACCAAAGACGCAGATATAAGCCATAATAAAATTAGACTAAATAAAAATTTTCAGATATAAATCTAGTCTGAAAAGGTTTGCCTTTCACCAAATTATGGTTTCTGAACTGTTTCTACTAAAAAATAAATTCAAAATTAATATTTTACTACCTAAATACATCTGGGTTTTAGCAATTTCTTTCTGAAGTAAACTGAGAATTGTCATTTAATGTCTGGAATTAAGATCACTTTTATCAAAAGACATACTGTGATATAACACAGTTTATATAACTCTTTCCAATTCTTTCAGTACTTACATAGACTGAAAAATACTGTTTAATACTGAAAAATACTCCTTAATAAAGTAAACCATACCTTTATGTTGGCTAGCATCTGCATTGAAGTTTATCTCTCCTTGTAGATGATTCTGTCCATTATCATCTGAATGCCTAGCATGAGGATCATTATGAAGAATCTTAGGCTGGGTGTCATCCTGTTCTCCCAACAAAATACTAAATAGCTGAGAACATAAAACAAATCCAACTGCTGATCCAGAGAGGAAGATTAAAAAATTCAGCCAAGATTTAGAGGCCATTTCCCAAAAGTATATTTCTGTAAGAAAAAAATTAACAGGATGTTGTAAATAATAGAGCATTATACATACCAAAAGTAAAAAGTCTAATAACTTTTAGCTACACTGGAAAGTTTCATATAAGAGAACATACCTAGGATTATTTAACTTTTATCTATGAATTTATCCCTCTATTTGCTGCTAAAACAGCAGCACATTATGGACAAGTCAATAAATGAATAATCATTGTTAGGGTGGGACATGGGTAAATACAGGTATGGGAAAATATGATCAGAATTACTTGAGGAGCATTTAAAAAATATAGACTTCCAGGCTCAACAGCTGAGCTTTCAGATGCCAAGTGCTGGGACAACTAAAATTTATATTTTTACTTTATTTTTTAAGAAAAAGCTTTGTATTATTGTTTTTTACAAAAACAACAAAGAAACAAGCAAAAAAGCACTGCATGAAGGAAGAAATCACTCTAAATCCCAGAAACAACTTTTGGTGAGTATCATTACAGATAGAATAACATCTTTAAGAATAACAGGGACAGAGATAGAAGGAGAGATAATTATAGCTAACATTTTAGTCCTGTATTAAGAGCTTTACACGAATTACCTTAAACCATAAGCTAAGGATCATTCATCTCATTTCATCAGTAACCTTCTCAGGGTCACACTAGCCATCTAAATCAAGAGTTCAGACTCTTGCCCTGGCAGGGTAGCTTAGAAGGTTGGAGCATTGTTCTGTACACCAAAAGGTTGTGGGTTTGATTTCTGGTCAAGGTACATACCTAGGTTACAGGTTTGATGTCCACTTGGGGAACCTACAGGAGGTAACAGATCAATGTTTCTCCCTCCCTTCCTCCCTCTCTCTAAAATCAATAAACATATTCTTGGGTGAGAATTTAAAAAAAAAAAAAGAGTTCAAACTCTTTGCTATTTTACTATAGTTTTAAAGAATTTGTATTGTACTAGTCATGCTATTTTAAAGGTTTAACATACTGTTAGATTTACTTGAATTTATGAAAAAAATGGAAATTAAATAAATCTAAACAAACTTTGAACATCAGCTAAACATTTCTCACATGACCTCCCTCTTTTAAATGACCACCCTGAAGATAAAGATTATATAAAACAACTGGAGCCATGTATAAAACTTGTATGACTAAAAACTAAATAATACTTATTTTTTAAAAAAATCAAATAAGACCTAACTAAAAAATGGGGAGAAAGACTATGTTCATAGATTAGAAGACTTAACATAGTAAGGATGTCAATTCTCCCTGATTGGATACACAGGTTTAATGCAATTTCTATGAAAAATCCCTTCAAGATTTCTTGTATAGACAAAATTATTCTAAAATTTATATGTTAAGGCAAATGAGCTAGAATAGCTACAACAATTTTCAAAAAGTAGAATAAAGTGGGAGGAATCAGTCTACCTGAGTTGAAGATATCACATAACAACTGAAATTAAGACTATATAGTACTAGAGTATAAGACTCATGGATCGGTAGAACAGGATGACCAATTAGACCCACATAAATATATTCAACTGATTTTTGACAAATGTATAAAAGCAGCTGAGTGGAGGAAAGATAAGACTTTTCAATAAATGTTGCTGGATATCTGTAAGCAAAAAAATAAACCTCGACCTAAGCCTCACACCTTATACAAAAATTAACTCCAAATGGATCCTGGACATGTAAAATAAGCAACTAAAAACTTTTAGGGGAAAAAAACAAAAGAAAATCTTGATCTAGAAGTAGGCAAAGAATTCTTAGACTTGACAGAAAAAGCACAATCCATAATAGGAAAAAATTGATAAATTGGACTTGATGAAAATTAAAACTTGTGCTCCGCAAAAGACTCTACTCAGAGACTGAAAAGACAAGCTAAACTGGAAGAAAATATTTGCAAACCACATATCTAAGAAAAGAACTAGTATTTAGAATATGTAAAAAATTCTTAAAACAAACAGCAAAAAACCCAAACAAAAGCCAAATTAGAAAATGAGAACAAGACAAGAACAGATATTTCACTGAAGAGGACGTACAGATGGCAAACAAGCAAATGAGAAAATGTTCGATTTCATTTGCCATGAGAAAATGTTCGATTTCATTTGCCGTTAGAAAAACGCAAATTAACACTAAAAAGAAATATCTCTACAAACCCATGAGGATGGTTGAAATAAAAAACAGTGACTCCACCAAATCCTGGCAAGAATATAGAGAAACTGGATCACTATATATTGCTGGCGGGAATGTAAAATGATGTCTGGCCACTATGGATCAAAGAACTATGTGGAGAAAAATATGTTTTGACTCATGAAACAAATCTAACTTCTTATCAAAGTGAATTACTCTAGCACAAAATGACCAAACAAATTTGAATGATATGCCCCCAAACTGGTGAAGCAACCCTTACCTCCTAGAGTTTTAGAAAAACACACACACACATACAGAAAAAAGCTCAAAGACAAATCTCTACTTGCACCTGCCCAAGGTCCCAGCTCCCCCAGCTACTTACTCTCTGGAGTAGCTAAATGGCTACTTAGAAACTATCACCACCAGCAACAAAAATCTCTAGCTCAAATTTTAAAGGAAATATCCAAATGGCGCATAAAACAGTCATCAACACGTGGAAGGTAATAAAAAGATTTCCATCAATTTTTAAGCAAGATTAGCTAAAATTGATTTTTAAATGAATAAACAGAAATACATGGAACCTACATAAAAATCTTTAAGTGGGAAAAAAATTAAACACAGGATGCAAAAGGTAGGTGAAAGTACAGTTCTAAATACTTCTTGAAAAAAATATTAGGAAACTATATAGAACTACTTTATAGTCTCTGAGATTGAAGAGATTAAATCAATTATTTAGATATAAAAGACAAACAATAGAGCGCCAACCAAGAGAAAACATATTTCCCCAAAAAGAATAGAACGAAATAGAAAAAAATGTCAGATATAGTAAAAGAAAATACCCTGAAATGAGGCCAAGCATCTAAGTATTAAAGGTTTCATATAAAACCCAGAAAAACCTAACATAGATGGATCAGTATTGAGAGAGATCCTGAACTTTACACTTAAAATCAAACAAACAAACCACCCATAAAAACTCTAATTACTCAGGCCAAGAAAAATAGTCAAAGTCAAAACATTAGGCAGAACTACAAAGCAAAAAATATTAGGCGATTATCTTCTCTTTATCATTATATGCAAAACAAAACAAAACAAAAAAACCCAAGAAGGCCAATAGTCTTAAGTTATCAACAAACTGTCATTCAAAAATCAAGATAACAGGAAGACATTTTCAAATATGCAATGATTCAGTACTCCTATATCCTTGGTACACTACTTACATAAAAATATATTGCCCTAGCTGGTTTGGCTCAGTGGTTAGTGTCAGCCCTCAAAGTGAAGGGTCCTGAGTTTGATTCCAGCCAAGGGCATATACCTAGGTTGAAGGCTCAATCCCTGGCCCTGGTCAGGCATGTGTGGGAGGCAACCAAACGATGTCTCTCTCTCACATTGATGTCTTCCCCCCCCCCCATCTCTCCCTTTCTCTCCCTTCCACTCTGAAAGTGATGGGAAAAATATCAAGAATTTTTTAGAAATTTTAAAAAGAAAGATATAATTCATCTGAAAGTTAAATTGAGATTAAAAAAAAAAATTACAAATGAAATCATTCAATGAAAGGGTTAGCATACAACATGAAAGTTGTAATCCTTCCCCATGTAAAACTGTGGAGTAACCCTGTGTGGTAATTATGAAACAAAACATAAATGTTATTTGCCTGGAAAGAAAAGCTACATAGAATAAAGAAATAATAATTTAACTATAAGACACAGAGGCAGAAAAGGAATATCATGTAAATGAAAATGGAATGGGGGGCTGGAGAGAATATGCTAAGTACTCTGATTTCATTAGAGGGGTAACTCAGAGTTGTTTACGTTTAATTATAAAAATCTTCAAATGCATACAAAAGTGTAGCAATGAACCCCCATATATCCATCACACAAATTGAATTATAATAAAAATATGCTATATTTACTTCATTTATTATTTTGTCTATTGATTATAGAATTTTAATGCTTATCTCAGACATCAAGTCACCTCATCTCTACATACTGTAATATACATCTCCAAAAATATGGACATTTTCTTACAAGCCACAATGCCATTATGAAACACCAACAAAATTAACAAAAATTCGCCCGGCCGGGCGTGGCTCAGCGGTTGAGCATCGACCTGGGATCCAGGCGATCGGGGTTCGATTCCCGGTCAGGGCACATGCCTGGGTTGCGGGCTCGATCAATGACTCTCTCATCATTGATGTTTCTATCTCTCTCTCCTTCCCCTTCTCTCTCTCTGAAATCAATAAAGATATTAAAAAAAAAAATGAACAAAAATTCTTTGAACTCAATCAAACCATAGTCTAATAAAATTTCCCCAACTGTTTTCTACAATCAAATTGCATCAATAAACTAACAAATGTCTATTTATAGTTGGGTTTATTCAAATTAGGATTCAAACTATATCCACATTCACAGATAAAATGAAAAAACAAGAGACCACATTACATAACAAATAGCTATTAAACATGAAAACCCAAATGAAACACACATTTCTGTTAAAAAAGCAAATTATCAAAGCTGACTCAAGATATACAACCTAGCCATGGCTGGTGTGGTTCAGTGGGTTAAGCATCATCCCATGCACCAAAAGGTCACTGGTTTGATTCCCAGTGGTCAGGGCACATGCCCGGGTTAAGACTCAATCCCCAGTGCGGGGCATGCAGGAGGCAGCCAGTTGATGTTTCTCTCTCTCTCTCCCCCCTCCTCTATGAAATCAATTTTTAAAATTTTTTTTAAAAAGGACATAAAACCTAAATGGGCAAATAACCACTGAGGAAATAAAGAATGCTGTCAAAAAGTCAGACTTTAAAAATGTCCAGGCTTTTCCTGGATATTCCAATCTCCCCCCAAAAACGTAATTTTTAGGCTACATAAATCATTCCAAAAAATTAAGTAGTAGATCTTGACCAATTCTTCTTTTATGTAAAAGCTTGATAGCAATATATAACAAAGTGAATCCTCAATATAGATAGCATAGAAAACTTCAGTTCAATCTCACTCTAAAATAATACATTATCAAAGAGAATGCAGCCCAAACATTAGTGGTCATCTTAAGTTGGATTCTGTGGAAGCAAACTCTGAGATGAGGCATTTTTATGACAGTGACTTACTAGAAAATATTCCCTGGAAAAACTTATAGGGAAGTAAGATAGGGAAGGGAAGAAAGCCAAGCAAGGGTAAAATACCAAGCAGTCTCATGGAGGATAATTTTAGCTCAATTTTGCAGGGTGCTTCTTGAGGTAATGTAGGCTAGACCTCAAAGTTGTACCCATACAGCCAATCACTAGTTAAGGGCTGTTCTCAAGAAACAAATTTCCCACACTCTTCCACAGCCTGTATATTGGCAAAGTATACTCTGGCAGTATGAGGGCAGCTCTACAACAAAGAACCTTATGAGATAAACACTGGGAGTGAAAACACACTAGCAGCCTGAGAGCAGAAAGGAGATACAGGCCTATGGACAGAGTATTTGCATAATTTACCACAGTGACTTCAGGAGAGAGGAAATTAAAATCCACTTGGTTTAGATTTCCACTATGGGAACCTTCAAAAGGTTCAGGAATGAATCATTTAGTTCAATCATCCTACAGTGAAGACTACTGGTGATAAGCCCAAGACTGTGTACAGAGATTTCAATTAATTTTTTGGCATCTACTCTAAAATATTAAAAGCCAACTAGGATTCACCACATATTTTAAGGAAAGCCTCTAATTTGAAAGAAAAAGACCAAACTAGACAAATTTAAAGCAATGAAAACTAAAAAACAAAGAAAACTATAATTAATATCCTGAGACAAAAAAATTGTGATCTCATTTTATTCATAAAATAAAAGCAAGTTACAAACTTTTTAAAAAAAATTCTGAGAACAAAAAGAACTCCTACAAATTAAAACTTAAGAAAATCAAAACTCAATAAA